CACACTACTGTTCAAAAGTATTTTTTGGAAGAAAATAATAGTTTTATTCAGCAAAGATACATTAAATTAATGAAAAGTGACAGCTAATACAATTAATGTGTAACAAACAATTTCTATTTCAAATAAATGCTGTTCTTTTGAACTTTATATTCATCAAAGAATCCTGAAAAATATTATTAATGAATTAAAGTTCAAAATATATTAAAACAGAAAACATTTTAAATTTTAATCATATTTCACAATATTACTTTTTTTTTTACTGTATTTTTATCAAATAAATGCAGCCTTGGTAAGCATAAGAGACTTCTTTTAAAAACATTTTAAATAATCTTACCAAACCCAAACTTTTGAATGGTAGTGTATATATACATTTAAGGTGACTGCGTCCTTTTGAAGCATAAAAGCTCTAGTGGCCATTCATTATAATTGCTTGTAAAGAAGCTTGTGTTCATCTGAGGAAATAAAAAATAATAATAATAATAATTGTCATGAGTATGAAAGAATGATGACAGAATGTTTATTTTTGAATGAACTATTTCTTTTAAAGCCATGTGTGTGTCTTTGTGCTCGGCAGTTATATTTTCTGGACTGACTGGTACCGTCCTGCAAAGATTATGCGGGCCTGGGGTGATGGGTCACATGCTCAGTCGATTGTAAACACCACTCTCGGCTGGCCCAATGGCTTGGCCATTGACTGGAGGTGAGTTACTGTACAGTTCCCAGAATGAAACCACAACAATACAGCATTCAGTTGTGCTCATAATACCACAAACAATAACCCATTCCTGTTTAATTCATAATTCTTTGGTTTAACTTCGATGGCTTCCTAAAGCCGTGACTCATCATTATTGGTTTTGTTGTGCATTCAATAGCGTGTTCGCTCCTAATCTCCTTAAATCATGATCTGACATAAGTTTCTCAGCATTGGTCTAAAACGCTCTCCTCTTGACCGTGTCTCTGCCTCTCAGTGCCATGCGGCTGTATTGGGTGGACGCCTTCTTTGATAAGATCGAGCACAGCAACTTTGATGGACAAAACAGGTTGTCTTTGAATCGCATCACTCAGATCTCCCATCCGTTTGGACTTACTATTTTTGGAGGTGAGTTTATCAGTATCTATCTATCTATCTATCTATCTATCTATCTATCTATCTATCTATCTATCTATCTATCTGTCTGTCTGTCTATCTATCTATCTATCCTCTATCGCTCTATCTATCTATCGTTCAATCACTCTATCGCTGTATCTATCGTTCAATTGCTCTATCTATCTATCGTTCTATCGCTCTATCTATCTATCGTTCAATCTGTCTGTCTGTCTGTCTATCGTTCAATCGCTCTATCTATCTATCTATCTATATCTATCGTTCAATCGCTCTATCGCTCTATCTATCTATCGTTCAATCGCTCTATCTATCTATCTATCGTTCAATCGCTCTATCTATCTATCTATCTATCGTTCAATCGCTCTATCTATCTATCTATCTATCTATCATTCTTTCTTGCATTGTCAATTCAATTCTGAATTTTGTGTTCACCAAAATGACATCAAAAATAATGATTCCCCAAACACACTTGCCCGTCTCTGCTTGGTCGGACAAACAGATCAACCCATCCCAAAAAAATCACACTCATGTTGCTGTGTCAGGCTGAAATAAATAGGTACAGAGCAAGTGTTTACACTCTTCAGTATCAATCCGCAAGTGACTTATAGTTCACCCTGCAAAAAAATGACACGCATCACTTTTTCATGCAATTTCATATCAAAGCACACACTCGTGTACGTCTGCATGTGTAGTCTAGCGTTTTATGATTTAACGTCACATCTATTTTCATATGATGATTGGCTGGTGGCTCTCCCGCTCTTTTCCTCCTTTGACCGTGATTATACAGCACATCTCCGGACGGCTCGTGTGTCAATCCGCATCTTAACCATGGCTGACAAAAAGTGTGCCGTGCAGCTCATCTTCGCTGAAGCAGAACTAAAATCTGGAAGTAATCAGCTAGCAGGGGAACATGAGAAATTCTATCTATCTATCTATCTATCTATCTATCTATCTATCTATCTATCTATCTATCTATCTACCAGTGTATCATTCTTCCTGTCTGTCTGTCTATTGTTGTATCATTCTGTATCTGTTGTATCTGTATATCTATCTACACTGAGATGTGGCTGACTTTTAGAAAGCAGTCTAATTTAAACCCACTGACTGACGAAATGTTAATTTTGCTGTTCATCGATGTCTGTCATCATCTCAATGTCATCCTAATCATGTTAGTCTCGATGGCCTCTTCTTTGATGATGGATAGTCACGTCTGGTATCTGTGAAATGAGGGTCACTACACGGCTTTCTTAAACTTCAGTGTAGTTCGTCTGTTCGGTGCTGAAAGATAAAAGGGCAGAAGTCAGAGTTCATGAACTGGTATTTCTCAGAGATGGCCTGTTTGATTACATTAATGAAGTTTGCTGGTCCAGGTTATGTGTACTTCACCGACTGGCGGCTGGGTGGAATCGTGAGGGTCCGTAAAACAGACGGAGGGGAGATGATGATCATTCGTCAAGGGATCAGCCACATCATGCATGTCAAATCCTTCAATGCTGATTCTCAGATTGGTGAGGCTCACTTTCTATTGATTAATTTACTCAATTTGGCATTGAATGTAATGTCTCCACAAAGGTATTAGGGCTATTTATCCAAATGTATCAAATGTGGTTGCAATATAGTTGAATGATCAATGCGCATTGCTTTTTACCCCCAACAGGATCTAACTTCTGCAACAGGCAAACAAACCCAAATGGAGACTGCAGTAATTTCTGTTTCCCAGCGCCGTACTCCCAGCGAGTGTGTGGCTGTCCATATGGAATGAAGCTGGAAGCGAATCAGCAGACGTGTGTGGATGATCCGTCCAATGAGCCGCCGACCCTCCAGTGTGGCTCCAACTCCTTCTCATGCACTAATGGGAAGTGTGTCCCCCAGAGCTACCAATGTGACGGCGTCGATGACTGTCATGACAACAGCGATGAGGCCAACTGTGGCACTAATAGTAACGTTTTATATTTATATTTCATTCAAATATTCATGTGCTGATAAGCAGGTAGCAATGAGCAATCGGTAGGACACAGTTTTCATTGATTAGGTTACTTTTCCAAAGCTCTTCACACAGTTCCTCTTACCAACTTTCAGCTTGGCACAGCAGTAAATTTAACATCCAAAATTCAATTAAGTTCAATTCATGTTTATTTGTATAGTGCTTTTCACGATACACATCGTTGCAGTTCTACATTGCATTTAGGAGTAGTGTATGAAGTGTTTTGCACTAAAACTACCAAAACACTTCATACATGTCTTAAAACTAGAGAAGCTAAGATGGCAATAAATATAAATTCAACCAAAGCAAATTACATTCACATCATGCAGTTACATTGCGTCATGCATTCTCAGAGAATCAAAACCCATGATCTTGGCGTTGCTAGCGCCATGCTCTACTCTTTGAGTTAAAAGAATGCAGGCATTTCTATGAGATTTTTGATGTTTTAATGAGATTTTAAAAGGTTTTATCACTTGAAGAGTGATTTATTTTCACGTTTATGAAAATAAATGTGTTCATTTTTTCCTCACTCTGCTGGCTCACAGATAACACATGCTCGCCCATTGCCTTCACCTGTGCCAATCAGCGCTGTGTGCCCAGAAGCTGGCACTGCGACGGACACAATGACTGTTTTGATGGCAGTGACGAGAGGGAGTGTCCCACCCAGACCCCCGGCACTTGCCAGGCTGACCAGTTCAGCTGCACCAACCATCACTGCATCCCCCGCACATGGCTCTGTGACACCGACAATGACTGCGGAGACGGATCCGATGAGAACAACTGTGGTGAGACCCAGGGATATTATAGTTAGCTGAAACCATAACCATAAAAAAAAACATTTTCATTACTTGACATAGAATAAACTTGATCTGAAATCAAATGAAATTGAAAAAATTAAACTTACTTTATTTCTGCTTGTTGCAAAGGCAACTTTTCTTATTTTCGCTTAGCTTCATAAATTGAAGTACTAATATAAACTAAATGAACTAAAATGAATAAAAAAATTATATATAAAATAAAATATTAGTATCATTGAAATATATAGGAGTCAAAGATGAAAAAGGGTTTAAGCATAAAAACAATAAGTGTAATACTGCTTTAAATTGTTGTTGTTGTTCCCCCCCCCAAAAAAAAATTTAAAAAAATTCTGTTTAATTTAATTGCAATTTTGTTTTTGTTTTCCTGAGCAAAAAATAAATATCATACATTTTTCCCTGATTTACAGAAGAGACCCACTAAAATGTCATTCAGTGTAACAATCTTGTCAGGCATATTTACAACAAAAATCAATGTATAACATATGAAAAGACTAATTACTTTCACCCCAAATACTAATTAGTTGTAATTTTACATTTTTTAAATTTGCCACTATCCTAGGTTTTGCCCATTTGTCAGTCAGATTTTTTTTACTCATTTAAAACACAATCAAATTTAATATGCTCCCTTATTCTTTTATATCATGTTGTTTGAATTTTTACATAAATATTGTGTTACACTGAATGACAATGTAACATTATTTCAACCAAATTTTGACATTTTATTCTCCAAAAACTTTACTTGCATTTAATGTGCTTTCTATGGACATAAAATCACTTTTGTAAATTTCTTTTGATGCGGACATCTTAATGTCTTTGACCCATAGACATATTTTTTTTTTTAAACGAATAAAAATGACAAAAACACAACAAAACTATTAAATCTTTGAAATTAAACTGAAAACAGAAAATATAAAAATACAATTAAAGTATTATCAAAAACTATAATAGTATATCAGTGATACTAAATTAACACCTTGGGCACTGTTGATCGAAGTGTCTATAAATTCATTGAGAATTTTCAAATATATAAATAATATACAAAATACAATATAGGCAATATAAGTAAAATGGCATTAAACAGACACCTGTGACTGCATGTTTTACATTTATTTAAAATAGTCAGAGGTCTCAAAATGATCTAAAATATTTCTCAACAGAAATTCTGTTCTAACCAAATGATCTGAGCTCTGTGCTGTTCAACTTTACATTCTTGTGAAACATCTGAATGAAACATAACTGATAATGCCATTAAGTATCATTAATCTTCTGAGCATCGAACTTTTCTTGTGATGTCTCTTTTTCTAGATTCTATTGGCACATGCCACCCTGGTCAGTTCCAGTGTCCGGACCATCGCTGCATTGACCCCAATTACGTGTGTGATGGAGACAGAGATTGTGCAGACGGAGCGGATGAACAGGGCTGTGGTAAGAGTCCATTATATGCAGGACCAAACTCTTTTGTTGCATTTCATCATAACGGTACATATTGTTTATATAAAAATGGTTTATATATTAAAAATGTGGTAATACCATTTAAATTCTTCACAAAGTTTTTCAACATAAAGACAAAAATGTGTATTTCACAATATAAACGGTATTAAAAAAAATCTCTTATGGAAGTTCAAATCAGATCAAACTGATTTTTTGTTGTTGACTTGTTGTTCTTGATCTGAGTGATTCTTGTTCTTCTGATCATCAGTGTACAACTGCACAGCATATGAGTTTAAGTGTGCAAATGGGCATCAGTGTGTGAACTCCTACTACCGATGTGATGGGGTGTTTGACTGTAACGATCGCTCCGATGAATCTGGTTGTCGTAAGTATAAACAAATAAATCTTCAATTTGTCTTTCAGTTCTGATCATCTTCAGTAATACCATGATAATTGTTTAGGAAATTGCATTACATATACAGTATGTAAATGGGTGAATCTCACAAAAACATTTCCAGGTCACTGTTCACCCTAGAATCTAAAGATAAAAATGATAAATGGAGGGAAAAGGCTGCATATTTTAAGAAAATAATAATAATAATTATTATTATTATTATTTTGCATTTTGACATTATTTTGGATGTTTCGTTTTTTTATAATTATATATTTTTTTAATTTTATAAACATAGTTGTGTAATTCCCATTATTCTCAATGGTGATTCATATTAAATTTACATTGTTATAATTGTTTAAAACTGTATAAAACAAGTACTGTAACAATGATTTTAAAAAAATTTGAAATTAGCATTTTTTATTTACAATAAATGTGGTACAACAAATACTTCATAAATGCATTATTTTAAAATAAGATTATAATTCTTATTGCATTTATTTACACTACAGTACTAAGAATGTGAAATGTTTTGCATTACAGTAATTAAAATTAGGGCGCAAGGTGAACAAAATAATTATGAAAATAAATGTGAAAAAAAAAATCTAAAGATTCTACAAAAAACTTTCATTTTTTTTTTCCCCAAATATATTTATTGCCATTTTGTGCAGATACAACATCTTATATATACAAAAATTAGTAATCCACAATTATGCTTTTCTCCCTCCCAATCCCCCACCCCCTCAACCCCTATTATCTTAACCACATAACACAAACGAATGCAAATAACAATAATACTGTAAGTGTAGTTATTAAATGATACAATTAATGTACACTTTCATTTTAACACAAACGAATGCAAATAGCAATAATACTGTAAGTGTAGTTATTAAATGATACAATTAATGTACACTTTCATTTTTTTTAAAGAAAAATTCAGTTTGATCATTATAAAATAAATTATTATTATTTTGATTTTGGGGTGAAACATGACCTAGACATGTTCTTGATTCATCCTCATTTATTATAAACTTCAGGAAACTTGTATTATGATGTATCTTATATTAAGCTAGCATGACCTTCGACCCTTCCAGCCACTAGGCCGCCCGGCATGTGTCACCACGAGAGTGAGTTTCAGTGCCAGTCAGACGGCAGTTGTGTTCCTGTGAACTGGGAATGTGACGGGCATCCAGACTGTGAAGATGGCTCAGACGAACACCACGCGTGCCCACCGCGGACGTGCCCCACCTCGCAGTTCCGCTGTGATAATGGGAACTGTGTTTTCCGTGGCTGGATTTGTGACGGTGATAATGACTGTCGGGATGGCAGCGATGAGCGAGACTGTCCCACGCCGCCGTTCCGCTGTCCCAGCTGGCAGTGGCAGTGCCCTGGACACAGTGTGTGTGTTAACCTCAGCAGGGTGTGCGACAACACGCCAGACTGTCCCAACGGCGCCGATGAATCCCCTCTCTGCAGTAAGTCATGCCATATGTTTTACTGAGATTTACAGCAGTACGTAATACATATACACCATTCTGCAAAACTTTTGGGGTCGGTGTTATTTTTTAATGATTTTGATTTTAGTCTCTTTTGCACACCAAGGCTGCATTTATTTGATCAAAAATACAGTAATAATGTGATTTTTTGTTTACAATTTCAAACAACTGTTTTCTATTTGAATATCTTTTCAAATGTAATTTATTCCTGTGATCAAAGCTGAATTTTCAACGTCATTACTCCAGTCTTCAGCGTCACATGATCTTCAGAAATCATTCTAATATACTGATTTGCTGCTCAAGAAACATTTCTTATTATTATCAGTGTTAAAAACAGTTGTGCTGCTTAATATTTTTGTGGAAACATTTTTTTTATGAATATAACAACTTTTATTTGAAATAGAAATCTTTGGTAACATTATAAGTGTCTTTACTGTTGCTTTTGATCAATTAAATATATCCTTGCAGAATAAAAGTATTCATTTTTAATGGTATTTGAATGGTGTTTAAACTTTATAAATAAAGCATATAAGATAGTGACTAGTTTTTGTTAAGATTAGAAGTTGATGGTTAGCCTTTAGCTATTAGCTCCCTAATGAAAATCTTGGCTTTGTTCTTAAACCTAATGAGCTGCCTATATGGGTAAACATTCTTAAAGGGATAGTTCACCCAAAAATGAAAACTCTGTCATCATTTACTCACCCTCAAGTTGTTTCAAACCTGTATGAGTTACTTTCTTCTGTTGAACGTAAAAGAAGACATTTTGAAGAATGTGGGTAACCCAACCGTTTATGGTGCTCATTAACTTTTTTTTTTTTTTTTTTTTTTTTTTTGTCCATACTATGGAAATCAATGGGGTCCAGCAGCTGTTTGGTTACCCACATTCATGTCACAAACTGTTGTTGGAGCTTATCTTGCGTTAAGGCTGATGATACACGGGGCAACTTTTTGAGCAATGTTTCTTGGGCAGTTTCCCATTGAGAATGGGTAACAAATTTCTATCTGGATACTTTAGATCGGTCGGGGCCCTGTGTCTCACCTGGTTGCCCATTGATGGCAACATTAGCCAAAGTTGCCCGGCAACATTGCTCAAAATGTTGCCCCGTGTATCATCAGCCTTAAGTCAGAACATTCGTTTGCATTCAAATCTTTAATATTTCTGTTTATATTGAAACCATTAAATGACAATCCATGTGGTCAGTCGGTTGATTTCAATACATGGAATATTTCAGTGTGTCGTCTGTGTTATAAATCCCATGTGTCATCAAATCATGCATGTGTTTAGCTAATCTGGAAATTAACATTGCAATGATCTGTGATTTTCCTTCCATGTTGCTCTCCCCTCTCACAGATGAGCCCTTACCAGGTAGGCTAAATCCCTAATCACCCACAATCCTCTGCATGAAGCACTAATCTATCCCAGTATCTGTCTGGCTGTACTCACTAACCGTCCAGAGTGTCTAAATATGGCAAGATTGTGTGTGTTTAGCATTATAGACACTTAGAGATGTAGTTTGTAGTACTGTTTTTGAAAAAAATTACATGTGTTAGTTAGTGGTCGACCGATATATCGCCAAGGCCGATATATCGGCCGATATTTGGCATTTTTTTTAAATATCGGCATTGGCTGATAAGTTTTCCTGTTTGGCCAACGCGTTCGAGACGGGACTTTTATTTTGATGGCGCGACAGACTTTTATTTTGACGGCGCTGACAGCGGCATCTCTCTGTGTTACGGTCGGTCCGTGCGAATGGAATGGACAGGTGGAGAGTTCAGCTTCACTGGAGATGCGCGATCGACAAACTTTAAACTCATGATTTCAAATTATGCTGCGCTTTATGCATTTGCCCACTGCCATATTCATGTCATTTCCACTGTGTGCTGTATGTAAAATTAGTGTTACCTTGGCTTTATTTGAAAAAATATGATTCCCAAATCCCAATGCACACAAACTTCCCAGAATACTGAGTGCCCTGTTGGTTACAGTGTTTACTTCCTTTTTTATTATATTTTTTATTAAATATTAATTTATTTGTGAAAAATACTTTGTCATCTAAAGTATAAGTATGCTTATTTAACATTTACTTTTTAATCAATTTTCAAATGATTTCAAATTTCTTAAACATCAATTAAAATAAATAAAATTATATCGGCTTTATATCGGCCATCGGCCACCCTGCTTTCCAAGATATCGGCATCGGCTGTCAAAAAAACAATATCGGTCGACCACTAGTGTTAGTCCATAGAAATGGTACACAACCACCAAAGTATCTTAGATTTTAACAGTAAACATTAGGGCTGGGCAATATATTGAATATTCACAATATATTCATAATGATTTTGGAAATTAAGCAACATCATGAATATTATGATGATTTTAATGCACTTTTTGGGACATTGAGTTTTCTTGAGGACAGTGACATTAGATTGGGTTTGCCAATCCTTTTTTGTTTATTTAAACTTTAGTAGCAAAAACGACATTAGAGTAGGTTAGTTTGACTTATTTTCCAACAGCCAAACCGATTCAATGGCTACGTTTACATAACCCGACCAAATAATCCGTTTGTAATCGGATTGACGGCTCAATCGGACTGAAAAGCCTTCATGCAAACACCTTAATCGATCCGATTGAGCTCGATCGGAATGAAATTTCGATTGGATTGAAGGGGGTGATTTATTCCGTTTCTAATACGATTGAGAGTGCATGTAAACACTCCCGAAACTGAAAGGACTGCACATGTGCAATGATGCAGAAATAGCGTATGACGCGCGGAACGAGCGGTTCTTCCTGTTGAATAAAGTGTTGTATAAATGCGTGTCCTGTCATTACAAAACTCTCCTTTCACTCGGCAACTGTGAAGTGGAGCAGGACAACCTCCCACATCACCCTGGTACAGGACAACCTCATTCAAATCAAATTTCGATTTGAAGCTTGTGACATAAATGCGCACATCAACCCGAGCGTTCATGTAAACACTACATTCAGATTCATCAATCGGAATGAATTCAGCACGATTGAACCAAAAATTGTGCATGTAAACATAGCCACTGATTAGTTTGCATCATCTGTAATGTTCACAGAACTGTTCATGTGGCATCTTTCACTCGGCAACTGTGAAGTGGAGCAGGACAACCTCCCAAATCACCCTGGTACAGGACAACCTCATTCAAATCAAATTTCGATTTGAAGCTTGTGACATAAATGCGCACATCAACCCGAGCGTTCATGTAAACACTACATTCAGATTCATCAATCGGAATGAATTCAGCACGATTGAACCAAAAATTGTGCATGTAAACATAGCCACTGATTAGTTTGCATCATCTGTAATGTTCACAGAACTGTTCATGTGGCATTTTTCTATATTAAAATGCTTTAATATAAATTAATGTAGATGGTGCATGAAAATATGTTAACAATTTTTTTTATATTATTCTTCATTCATTGTGCATTTAGTGAAGAACTGTGGAAAATATGCCTTACTTTTAACTTATTATTTTTACTGTATTTTACTTGCATTATGCATTTTGAATTTAATTGGCACAAACATTTTTTAATTTAAAGCACTTTTTTGAACATTACATTTCCTTAAAAGACAGTGTCATTCAATTAGTTTTGCAAATCCTTTTTGTTTTGCAACTCTTATTTTAACTTTAGTAACAAAAATTACTTTAGAGTTTGTAATTTTGATTCCTTTTCTAACAGACGAACTGATTCACTGATTCATGTGTCCATGTGGCATTTTTTTGTATATTAAAATATTTTAATATAACTATATGTAGATAAATATTGCTGTTTTTGCAGTGGAAAACATTTCTTGGTCATTTTTAACTATAATTTTACTTTTTGCATCAGTGTTATTGTAGCATCAGTGAGATACTATTATAGTTTTTATTAATAGTGTGAATGATTTTAGTGAAAAACTTCCCTTGGTTATTTTTAACTATAATTTTTACTGTTTTTTACTTTTTGCATCAGTGTAATTGTAGCATCATTGAGATACTATTATAGTTTTTACTAATAGTTTTAATTATTTTATTTTTATAATTTACGTTTTCATTTTAATTTTTACGTTTTTTTTTTTTTCCATTTTTATACGTTTTTTTATACCTCTATGTAGTTTTTATTCATTTTTATTTCAGTTTTAAATTGAGTTATTTTAGTTAAACTGAATGAAAATGAGAAATATTTCCTTGGCAACTAGTGGAAATAAAATATGTTTTTTAAATATTTTATTTCATTAAAAAAAAAAATGTTTTTCTTTTTTTATGGTTTTAGTTAAATATAATAACCCTGTCTTGCATCAAACTTTTTAAATGTATTAAAATGGCTCTTTGGTCACAAAAATGGTTCATTTGAATGAAAAGAAAAAAAACTTTGTATGCATTTTTATAGTAAATATAGAAATATACAGATTTTTTTGTATATTGCTCAGCCCTAATAAGCATCCCCTTTAATGGTTGTGCTCAGCATGTTCGCAGAATAACTTGTGTCTTCATGCATGCTTTTTCTTCACATTGTCATTCATCTGAACTTTTCTGCTTCCTCATAGATCAGGAGAGCTGCTCGGATAACAATGCGGGCTGCACTCACGGCTGCATTCAGGGCCCGTTTGGAGCCCAGTGCACGTGTCCTATGGGCTTCCAGCTGAGTAACGACTCAAAGACGTGCGAGGACATCGATGAATGCCATCCTCCGGGCGTCTGCAGTCAGCACTGCTTCAACGAGAGAGGCTCCTTCCGCTGCCATTGTCAGGATGGATACACTCTAGAGGCAGACGGACGCACCTGCAAGGCCTCAGGTTTGTGCATCTCCTCTGAGCTTTGTGATCTCTGACAGTGCTAAGACAGATATTAGTGGAGTGGAGCCACAGTCGGACTCCGGAGGCCAACTGGACCTGCTCAGCGGGGTCTAGTGTAGCCTCTCGGATTACCACAGATAAGACAAATAACAATGTCAGTCACAAACTTTCTTATGGGGGTAATTAGGTGGTAATCACCAAACAAAGGGTTGTTTATGAGCTCTGCCACTGACAAGAGCCCATTCCGTCGAGATAAGCTGTTGAAAAATGCTGTCATCCGATATACCTCATCTTCTTTCTGAATGTTGCTTTTCAACGGGACTCTTTTTTTAACCTTCTATTTGGCCATGTCAGATATGTCTTGCATAATTTTATAACTGAGAGCTGATGCGTATTTGGATTCATTTCTAGTCCTGTCAGGGTTATTTGATATGTTTTGAGATAACGGTGTACTTTAAATTATAATCACATATTGCGATCCAGATATGAAGCACAAAACACTGACTGCCAGTCAAAAGTTGGACACACTTGACTGAATTATGTTTCTCATCATTGTGAAAGCCTTTTGATTTAAAGGATTATGCTTGAATGATTGGAATTGGAGTTTTGTATGCAAATAGAAATTGTGCATTCTTATGAATTTCGTTGCAAAACTAAAATTTTATTCATTTTTTTAGTTTGAAAAATTATTTGTTTAATTTTTTATTAGATTGAATGAATTTGATTGGACAGTGAATGAAAAGCATCAAGTGTGTTGTTTAACATTTTGGTCACTTCATAACTCTCATACTTTCATTTGTGTTATTTCTTAGTATCGAAGACGTTATTTATTTATTTATTTTGATTATTAACGCTTACATTTTTAAAATGTTATTTGAAATATTTTATTATTTTAATTATTTCGATTTTTTATGTGTTATGTAACTGACAGAAAGATAATGAAATCATTGTTAATAAAATATTTGAATGCATTGAAATAGATACCAAAAGAGAAATGCTTGTCTGTAAAAAAAAAATTATATATATATATATATATATATATATATACAGTGGGTACATATATATATATACACACAAATTTAATGTTTTAAATATGTATTATTCATCATGGGAATAAATTACATTTAGAAATATATTAAAATAGCTTAAAGCTTAAATGTAAAAAGTTATTTTAAATTATAATAATATTTTACATCATTCTGTTCTCTATTTCTTTCTCAATCTGACAGGATCTCGAGAGGCCTTGCTCTTAGTGGCCAGTCGGAATCAGATTGTATCAGACGACATCCTCGCACAGCCAAACATTATTCGGTCTCTAGTGCGTGATGGCCGCAACATCGTGGCCGTAGATTTCGACTCGGTTACAGAACGTATTTACTGGTCTGACACCACCCAGGACAGAATATGGAGCGCTCACAAAAATGGGACTGATCGCACCGTGGTGAGTGACATGAACACCACTCCAGCACCCTCACAGTCAACATGAGCAACATTTAACCCTAAAAATATCCTTCCTCTTCCCGGCAGATCTTTGACAGTGGAGTGACTGTCACAGAGAGCCTCGCCGTAGACTGGGTTGGCAGAAACCTATACTGGACGGACTATATTTTGGAGACTATAGAGGTGGCAAAACTGGACGGGTCTCACAGAACGGTGCTGATTAGTGAAAACGTGACCAATCCAAGAGGTCTGGTAGTGGACCCTAGAAACAAGTAAGACCAGTGACCAAATAACAAGTATATAAAAATTAATTTCAATGACCAGTGGCTGAAAACAAAATCCCTTTTTTATGTATTTCAGCACACACCTGATGTTTTGGACGGACTGGGGCAGAAATCCTCGTATCGAGAGAGCCAGCATGGATGGGAAATTAAGGACCACAATCATCAGCAACAAACTTTATTGGCCCAATGGCTTAACTATTGACTACCCCAACAACCTGCTTTACTTTGCTGACGCTTACCTAGACTTTATCGACTACTGTGATTATGATGGAAAGAACCGAAAACAAGTGTTGGCCAGTGATTTGGTGAGACCTTTTGTTTTATGTACTCATTTATGTTTATGAATATGACAAGGGTGATACTGTAGCATTGCAGACTGTAAAATTATGTTCTTCCTCAGGATTTTTGTCTTGTTTTCCAGTATAAACTTTCTTAAATCAAGAAGCATTTACTTCAAAATGCTAGAAAATAAGATTAGAAAGAAATCTTGTTTTCTGAAAAATGTATCAAAATTAAGTTGAGTTTTTGCTGAAAACAAGACAAAATATCTGCCAGCGGAGTAAGAAAATTAGACTTATTTCCCATTAAATTATGTTTTTATTTTTCTTGTTTTAATCATAAACCCACTTCATTTTGATACATTTTCAGACTTCTTATCTTGTCATTTTCATCAGAAGTTGATTTAAGAATGTTTATAAATTTGTAGTTGATAAGACAACAATACCAAGGAAGAAGTGTATTGTAAGCAAATATGAATATTAAAAACTGAATATTTGGGATTTGAACCCAGCAATGATTTACAGTGTTTGTTGAGACTGGTTGTTTGAATATTAAGCTCAATATGTAGTTGCAAGTATGTGAACGCAGATGCATAAGGCATTTAATGGAGTGCGTACAATGCATTTTTAATTTCTGGAAAGAACTTGGGGACTTTTAAATAATGTGAAAACACAACTGGAACTGCCTTTCTTAATTACTTATTGGTCTACATTAAAATCTTCTCAACTTTTGGTCACATGATAGAGCATCACTTTTGCAAACCCTTGCATTTTTGTCTCTGTTTAAATGTATTTACAGTGTTTGCTAATGCAAAATAAACTTGAGTGCTTGTTTACCATGTGAATAAAACACCTCTTGTTTCTCAATGAAAAGGTACTGCAACATCCCCACGCAATTACCATTTTTGAGGATTTTGTCTATTGGACCGACAGATACGTCAACCGTGCGATCCGGGCCAACAAGTGGCACGGACAGAACCAGACGGTGATGCTGTATAATCTGCCCCAGCCCATGGGTCTGGTGGCACTTCATCCAGCCAGACAGCCTGCAGGTACAATGCTGTTCACAAACCTGAAATAAAGCCAGATAAACTAGCTGCTACCTGGAGAGTACACTTATTTTGATGTGTTGACTAGGCTTGCCGCGATAGACGGTGCTGACGGTGATACCGGTGTTAAGCCGCAACAACGGTTATGTCACTTGCCCACCGCTGCACTGACACCCACCGTCGTTTAGATTTTTTATAGTAATAAAAATCATTTAGTTAAGTAAAAGAACAGACACTACAATTAAAAGCCGAACGACAGTCGCATCACAGATCAGATTTAATTTCTCCAGTGAGGAGAGTGAGTCGAGCTGACTGACAAGAAGAGTGAGGTGAGGTGAGACAGACAAGACGATCGCGGATGATTTAGTTTCGAAACGAAACGCAAAAGCGCCTGTTTGGCAATATTTTGGATTTTGAAAAGCCTGTGGACTTTTTTGGAAGTTTTTTTAAACATTTGTTTCTTCTTTAATTGGTTCCACATTGTTTGCTGATTTTTACTTTATTTAAACTTTGTGTCATTTATTTTATTTTTTTCATAAATAGAACAAGGCATCAGTTTACTGGCGGGGATCTGTCGTGTCGCGTCATGCCGCGCTGTATCCGGTGTAGACAGCATCACTGACTATAATGGGCTCTATAGTATTTTGTCGCATCGCATCCAGTGTAGACACAGTGTTACAGTACAAATATCTAAATTATCTTAAATCAAGATGCATTTACTTGAGATGCATAATGATGCAAGATATTAAGTCTTGTTTTCTGAAAAATCTATCAAAATTAAATTAGTTAATGCTTAAAACAAGAAAAAATATCTGCCAATGGGGCAAGAAAAATAATCTTGTTTTCCTTTTGAATTAAGTGTATTTTTCTCAGCTCACTGATAGATTTTTCTCTCTTGTTTTAAGCATAGTCACTTAAAAAAATGTTTTTTTTTCAGAAAACAAGGCTTAATATCTTAAGTCATTTTGCTTCTCAAGTAAATGTATCTTGATTTAAGAAATTTGATATTTGTACTAAAAAACCTGACAAATTACTGTGTAAGAAAATATTTTTATTTGTTATTTTTGCAGTGTGAAATGGTAGAGCATGGCACTAGCAACGCCAAGGTAATTCCCAGGGAAAGCAAGAACTGGTAGAATGTAAATATGTACCATAAATGTAAATCTAATAATTAGGATGATAGCCAGAGAGATGTGCAATAAATTTCTGCCTTTATACACCAATTTTACATAAATGCTAAAAACATTTCTGGTAAAAATTCACTAAGAAATATTCAGATCTGCACTCAGTCTGGCAGAATTATCTGTCAATATGGAGTGCTGCTTGAATGAGTCCTAAAACTGTAATGTGGGGTTTGGGTTTTGTTTTTGTTCTGTAACGAATCATGCACTGAAGGCGAGCGTAGTGAAGAACCCAAGTGCAGTTTATTTACAGTGATCCAAACATCCAAACATAATCCAAACAGACGAAGACTAGAAACAATAATCCGAGACTTGACTTGACATGAACAGACTTGACTTGACTTGACTTGACTAGGCATGAACAGACTTGACGAGTTATGAACAGACTTGACATGAACAGACTAGACTCACCGACAGCGGGTTACAATGTCAATACACGACGAAAGACAATGGCAACATGAGGGCTACTTATAGCAGACAAGAGGGTCACATGACAAGAACAAACCTAATGGGAAACAAGACACATGACTAAGACAACCAATCAGAACATGACACAATGAACAGAGGAACCAATGACATGAATACATGAGGGCAAGGGAAGCATGACACAAACAGGGACCATGAAACAATTACAAAATAAAAGACATGGAAAACATGAACATAAAACAAAACCCAAAACACCACATTACACACGAGAACCCCTTAGAACGGTATTGTTTAAAATCCATGTTATGGTAAGTGTGCACGTGAAGGCTTTGTACACTTTCTAAAATCCACACTGTGGTAAGTTCACACGCTAGTACTCTGCGTTCTTTTCTAGAATCCTGTATGGTAAGAGCTACGCGCAGCAGCCTCGTGCTCTTTCTGAGTGGTTTAAAACCCCGGTTCCGCCGAGAACCCAAGTGCAGTTTTATTTCGTGTGATCCAAACATCCAAACATAATCCAAACAGACGAAGACTAGAAACAATAATCCGAGACTTGACTTGACATGAACAGACTTGACTTGACTTGACTTGACTAGGCATGAACAGACTTGACGAGTTATGAACAGACTTGACATGAACAGACTAGACTCACCGACAGCGGGTTACAATGTCAATACACGACGAAAGACAATGGCAACATGAGGGCTACTTATAGCAGACAAGAGGGTCACATGACAAGAACAAACCTAATGGGAAACAAGACACATGACTAAGACAACCAATCAGAACATGACACAATGAACAGAGGAACCAATGACATGAATACATGAGGGCAAGGGAAGCATGACACAAACAGGGACCATGACTAAACTAAATAATAAAAGACATGAACATGAAACAAAAACAAAACCCAAACCCCACATTACAAAACCTGGAAATGAGTTTTTGCACTTGCATTTCTATCTTCCCAAAGTCAATAGGTTTTTTGAATGGATTTTTGGTTAAATACCTGAAATATGGTCTGTGCTTAAAACAAGCTCAAGATATTTTCACGTTTTATTCTACAACATAAAATAAATCAGAAATACCCCACTTGTGATTTTTTAAGCTTTTATGTATCTTGAATAAGGCAGTTGCTAACAAGTGTCTAAATGGGACTACAGAGGTTATTAGGGACATTAAATAGCATCACGCCAAAATATTCATTATTTTACACCCTTTCCAACTTTTAAATAGAGTTTGAAAGAGATATCAGTAAACTTAATGGTGGTGACAATGAAGTCATGTGACCAAGATGTAGCTCATTTATAGTGTAACTTTAGCTTTTTGCTTCTGGTTGTTTGTATGTATAGGCTTCAAAATTAATAAAAAGTTGTGTTCATTTGTGAAGATTTTCTTAATGAACAAAAAATATAAGAATCATAGACTTTTGTTGGTTATTGGCCAAAAGCCAATTTTGTTGAGGGAAAGAGGTTGATGCTAACCGCTGTATCTACAAGAACTTTAATGAATACGCAATGGACAAGATAAATTAGTGCAATGAGTTTAACAGTTTATTCCTGCTTGTGGCTGTTTTTAATGAATAATGCATGTGTTTATGTCTTTAACGCTGACCTCTGTCCACTTAATCTGCTTCACAGTGAATGAATGAAGCAGTCTTCTGTTAAAATTGGATATAGATTTCAGTGGAATGAAAACTTTTCAACAGCAACCCATTTTCAATTTACTTAGTAAGCTTCTTTGCAGAGGCAAACATTTACTATTATAAAAGCCCTCAGCTCAGCTGGCAGTTACGGATGAAAGCGTGCAAGAGGCCTTTAGTCTTAAGAAGCCCTTAACATTCTCTTAGGGCAAACTCTCAACCTCGCTCAGGTTTCAGCCTTTGTTAGCGCTGTCGAGTGCATTCTTCCATGAGAGTTTAACAATTAATCCAGACAAATGGTGATTGAATGGGCTGTTTATCGCAATCAACTGTGCTGACACAATGTTTACACTACAGGGCCTTTTCAACCAGTCCCTCATATCTGCACGACTAAATGCATTGGGATGAGACCTAATTCTGGGAATCTCTGCTATCCATCGTGAAAAATATGTGTGTGCTTAATTGTATTGAATGAGCACTTGTAGTGTACTTCAAATCTTAGAAGTATATTTTAAAAAACAAACTTGCAGATAATGCATAAAACATTACTGAAATAAAAGGCCACTTAAGTGTACTTAGAGTACACTGCAAAAAAAAATAAATAAATATTTTAGTACAAATATCTAAACATTCTTAAATCAAGATACATTTATTTGAGAATAAAAATATTTATATTAATATATTAATTTATATTAAATCTTGTTTTCTGAAGAAGTAAAAACCATCAAAATTAAGTGAGTTTTTGTTTAAAACAAGAAATAATATCTGCTGATGTGGTAAGAAGGCAAGATAAGATGATAATTTTTCTTTTTCAGTTTTAAACATAAAATGACTTAATTTTGATACATTTCTCAGAAAACAAAACTTAATATTATTTTGTTTAGATATTTGCCCTGGAAAACAAGACAAAAATAGTCAACAAGAAAATCATTTTTTGCAGTGTTCACTTTCATTACTGTTTCTTAATACTTAAGTACACTTCTAAAAAGTTTATAATGATGTGAAATTAAAAGTTGTAGACTACATTTTAAATCATTATTTTAATAATCTTTTGTTGTGCTTCAAAGAAGTACACTTATTTTTTTATGCTAAAGCACATGTAAAGTGCTTTATTATAAATGTAATTTAACTGTAGTGTGTTATTCAGTATGTTTAAAGTTCATATATTTTAAATGTACTATACTGCAGCTTCATCATTAAAAATGTATTTTTACAAATATATTTAAAACAAGTTTCAATAGGAATTACATAATAACGTATATTTTAGTTCACATAAATGTTTATCAGTACATTCGGCAGTACACTTTGACCATATTTCAAAGATCATTTCAAAGTAATTTTGAAATGACATATAAAGACGAACTTACGTACTACTTAAGTGGGTCAAAATTTTTAAAATCAATTTTAAGTTCAACTAACGTCATTTAATCTACATTTAAGCTATAATTCATTTTCATTTAATTGCCCATAGCATGCACTTAAGTATTTGAAAACATTACATTCAGTTTACACTTAAGTATATTATTGTGAGATATATTATTTCCTCAATAAGTTTTTTTTTAAGTATACTAAAGTGTACTTCTTTTTCACAAGGGATATACGCATCTGTGAGTGTGCTCACAGAAACAGTTCACTCAAAAATTGAAATTGTGTCATTATTTCACATGACGTAATTGTTTGGTTGAAAATGAGATGTGTCACTGCTGAAAAGCCCATTATTATGATTTTTATGAATACCATATGAATTATGGCTGATGATTTTGCAGTCGAGGATCCATTCTTGGTGGTGGTGAGAGACAGCATCATTTACGGCATCCCTCTCAACCCGAATGACAAGAGCAATGATGCCATGGTGCCGGTCGCCGGGCTGCTGAATGGATATGATGTCGACTTTGATGATGCTGAGCAGATGATCTACTGGGTGGAACATCCGGTAAATCTTACCTATCTCAAATGATTAAAACAACTTGTATTCTTAATTTTAACTAGTTAACAGGTGTTTTGAATGCTAAAATTAGGTTTTTGTCTATTACCTGTATCTCATTTATCTGCACAGGGTGAGATTCATCGAGTAAAGTCAGATGGTACCAACAGAACTGAGTTTGCACCAGCGGCCATCTTGGGTTCTCCGGTCGGACTGGCTCTGGACTGGATGTCCCAGAACCTGTACTACTCTAACCCTGCATCACAGTCGATAGAGGTTAGCAAGACTTCAGGTCTCATTCCCTGCATCATAGTTTGTTCTTGTCAGGGCTGAGGTTATTTCTACATTCTGAAGATTACTAAAGAATAGTTAAAAGCACATAACAAAATTACTAAAACTTAAACTAAAATGAAAATGAAAACGGCAAATATAAATATAAATGCTAATTCAAAATAATAGTAAATGCTATAGTACTATATAAATGTGACCCTGGAGCACAAAAGCAGTCTTAAGTATTAAAAAAATTGACACTTATGATTGGTTTTGTTATAAATAATTTTGTTACAAATAATACTAAAATAACAATGTTAAAAATGACATTGTCAATGAAAATCATAATTTTTTCGGTACATAAATAAATAAATGTAATACCTATATTTGATGAAGTATTACTGTAAACACTGTCAGTTTGTCTCGAGTAAATGTAAACAGGCAGAACTAAAATATAAATAATATATGCAATATATAATATATACTGTATGTAAAAAATTTGACCTGTACATTAGGTTTCAATTTCTGAATATTTACTTGAATACTTGGTACTGCTACTAGGTGAAAAACGTTTTATTGTTTTTCTTTGTTTTATTGATTTGTAATCTTTTTTCTTTGTTCATTACTTATTTTTTGTTATTTATTTGAATTATTACTTGAACAACCTGATGAAATATTTACATCATTTAGATTTTTTTAATTTGTTAAACCTTACTCTTTTTTTTTTTTTTTTTTACATTTTAAATACTTCACTTTTTAATAAAAAAGTTTATTAAACCTGGGTTAGAATAGTGATGCTAAATACTATTTTTTATTTGAATAAAACCAGTTAATCCAGATGTTATCATTTTTAGTGCAGCATACCAGTTTTGCTGCTGTATAGAAAGTGGTATTTATAATTAAGAAATTTCACTGGTACTGTTATTGTGACAAACCTAATTTGATTTGTTTCAGGTTCTCAGGCTAAAAGGAGAAATTCAGTACAGAAAGACTCTCATCACTAACAACGGCTCACCTACTGGTGCAGGAGCTCCCATTGGCATTGTGGTGGATCCGGCACGTGGGTAAGTCCAGATAAGCAGAGGTCTGGCATTAACCCTGATCACCAAATTCAACAAGCTCCAGCCGATTTAATTCCATCTGCCAGGACTGAACTGCCTGAGCATGCTAAACAACAGTTAACATAAAGTACACATAGTCATGATCAGTCCTTAGAATATATGTACTTGTAGAAGCATGAAATTGCTGTATTTGTATACAAACGCAGATGCAAAAGAGCAGTATTTCCTATATGCTATGTTTTGCGTACATGCGATTCTGTTTAGTGATGTTCTGTCTTTGTTTTAGAAAGATGTACTGGACAGATCAGGGAACAGAGAGCGGGATCCCTGCCAAGGTGGCATCGGCAGATATGGACGGCTCCAACTCGGCCATCCTCTTCACCCATAATCTGGAACATGTGGAGTTCATAACTATAGACATCAGAGAGAACAAGCTCTACTGGGCTGTTACAGGAACTGGCGTGGTACGGCAGTCAGAAACGTTAAAGCGATAGTTCACCCAAAAATGAAAATTAGCCCATTATTTACTCACCCTCAAGCCATCCTAGGTGTATTTGAGTACCTTCTTTCAGATGAATCCAATCGGAGTTATATTAAAAATTGACTTTGATCTTCCAAGCTGTTTAATGGCAGTCAGCGGGTGTTGCAGTTCATCAGTCCAAAAGAAGTAAAATAAAGTGCATCCATCCATAATAAAAAGTGCCTCACATGGCTCCAGGGGGTGAACAAAGGCGTCCTGTATCGAATCAATGCGTTTTTGTAAGAAAAATATCCATATTCAAACCGTAATAATCACTCTAATCCAGCTTGCGCCAACAGTTGTACACGGAAGCAGCTCCGGGGAGGATGACGTAAGATGTCGGCGTTGCGCATGCGCCGGTGAGTCTCATGAAAACCAGCGTTTGTTTACAGGAGCAAAGGAAGCAAAGTTTCCTTACTTTAGCAAAGGAAAACCAGTCTCCTGTTGGCTTATATCGAAAACCTCTTCTTTACAAATCCTCGTTTTGTACTTCTAATAAGTGACCGTTGTTTTGTTTTGATCTCTCCCCTGCAGTTCCCTCGATTTGCTAAATCGTGCACACGATTTATAAATCGAGAGAACGAATTAGTAAATTGTGCACTCGATTTAGCAAATCGAGGGAATGAAATAGTAAATTGTACGCGCAATTTATAAATCGAGAGAACAAATTAGTAAATTGTGCGCATGATTTAGCAAATCGAGGGAATGAAATAGTAATTGTGTGCACGTTTTAGTACAATCGAGGGAACAAATTAGTAAATCGTGCGCACGATTTATGTATTTTTTCTTGCATGTCATGTGCGGGGCTCCGTAATATTGAATGTCATCAAAAGGCTGAAAATTTAGATGTAATTTTTTTCGCCAAGCTCCAGGTGAAACCAAGAATTGAAGAGAAACAGCATGGCGATGACGTATAGCTCATTTGGTCAAAGCCAATGCAAACAGCATTATTGCAGTATTGCAGTGAAGATCTGTCCGTTCACTGCAGTAACGCTATGGGAATTAATTAGTATGACATATAACAGTAGTCTAACTCTTCCAGATGGCTGCTTCTAAACAGATGCTTTCCATTCAGTCATTAAACATGCATTTAGGGTTGCAGGAGCTGAATAATATTTAATGATAAAGTGGAATAACGAGCTCCCCCGCACATCACTCTCATTACTATTGAAGGTTGCTCATTATCAAGGCATAATTTACAAAAACGCATCGATTCGCTACAGGAGACCTTTGTTCACCCCCATGTGAGGAGCCATGTGAGGCACTTTTTATTATGAATGGATGCGCTTTATTTCACTTCTTTTGGACTGATGAACTGCAACACCCGCTGACTGCCATTAAACAGCTTGGAAGATCAAAGACAATTTTTAATATAACTCCGACTGGATTCATCTGAAAGAAGAAAGTCATATACACCTAGGATGCCTTGAGGGTGAGTAATTCATGGGCTAATTTTCATTTTTGGGTGAACTAACCCTTTAATGTAGTTGCAGGCATTGATTAATTAAGGGATTGAATTAATAGTGATGAATTAATTGGCATATACAATATATAGGATTTTTTATTTTTTTGAAAGAAATCTCTTTTGCTTACCAAGGCTGCATTTCAAAAATAACTGTTTTCTATTGTTTCAGATCGAGCGTGGCGATCCCGATGGATCAAATCGCATCACTATGGTGAATGGACTGTCCCATCCGTGGGGTGTGGCCGTATATGACTCCTACCTGTACTTCACAGATCGAGACTTTGAAGTGATTGAACGCGTCGACAAAGCCACGGGACTCAACCGGGTTGTAATGCGGGATAACGTGGCCGGTCTGAGAGTACTCAAAGTACACTACAGAGACTGTGAGTATAATAAAAACTAAAAATACTTATAAGATAATGGCTCTGTTTCAAAACCTAGTAAGCTTTCTTGTTGTCTATTACCTTCATAGGCTGCTTCCTACGGAGCCTCGCACATGGCATGCAGGAAAAAAATAGTAGGCTAAATTGTGTGCACGATTTACTATTTCGTTCCCTCGATTTTTAAATTGTGCACACGATTTACTAATTAGTACCCTCGATGTACTAAAACGTGCACACGATTTACTAATTCGTTCCCTTGATGAACTAAAACGTGCACACGATTACTATTTTGTTCCCTCGATTTATAAATTGTGCGCACGATTTACTAATTTGTTCCCTCGATTTGCTAAATCGTGCACACGATTTATAAATCGAGAGAACGAATTAGTAAATTGTGCACTCGATTTAGCAAATCGAGGGAATGAAATAGTAAATTGTACGCGCAATTTATAAATCGAGAGAACAAATTAGTAAATTGTGCGCATGATTTAGCAAATCGAGGGAATGAAATAGTAATTGTGTGCACGTTTTAGTACAATCGAGGGAACAAATTAGTAAATCGTGCGCACGATTTATGTATTTTTTCTTGCATGTCATGTGCGGGGCTCCGTAGCTTCCTTCTGAAATTGGATGAAAAAACAATTCTCTAAAAAAATTAGATGAAAAAACAAGTCTCTAGATAGGCAGTAACTCAATGCATCATACAAATAGCTCCTCCTACGCAAAGCACACAGAAGATGCACAATTGATTTCAATGGAGTTTGGTGTTAGCATGTTGCTAAGCTAACAACATGAACTCTAACTCTAACATGAACTCTTTCTAAGCAAAAAAAACTTCACATCACACACAAATATAGACATTTATCAAGCCATTATACAGGTTTATGCAGTGGTAGCATGCTGCTAAGCTAATGAACTCTAATAAACAACTCTAAAAAAAACTCTATGAACTCTAATAAACATAAAACTACACATCACACCCTCATGTTGGGTAAAATGGGCAATTTTTTTAAATTTTTTAATTCAATTTAAAGTACTTTATTGGCATGATTTTTTTACATACAGTTTTGCCAAATCATTATACAGAAAACAAGTAATGACAAGAAAAATGCATCTCACGGTGCCATTTTTTGAGCATTCATCTCTGATTCATTCTGAGGTTGACGTAGGGTGGTCTTTTCTGGAAGTCATCATAATCTTGATGGCCGTGTAGCAATTATCAGAGCGGGATGAATGACTTTCAATAGGATATCAGTTTACCAATTAGTTCCCCTCTGCCTCAGGGGGACACTCAGCTTTATGCGGAGAAGAATCAGTGTCCCTTTGTTCGGTGTTCAGTGCACATGTTCATTCTCTAGGGCTGTGAACGTCGTCTATTGTATAAGTCCATCCAGTAAGATCTGGAAGTGCTAGCAAAGCAGAGTCCCAATATATCAGTACTGCTACACACTGATATGCACCAGGAATGTGTACACATTGCCAAAATAGATAGGTATGAGTCAGGAACATGTACTATTATGGTTACCTATTTGCAGCATTATATATCTGTTTCTCATTCTCTTTATCTGCGGTCTGTCTGTCTGTCTGTAGCCTCAGCAGGATCGTCTAACGGCTGCAGTAATAACATGGGGATGTGTGAGCAGTTGTGTCTGCCTCGTCCCGGTGGCCTGTTCAGCTGCGCCTGTGCGACTGGGTTCAAACTCAGTGCTGATAACAGAACCTGTTCTCCATACCAATCCTATGTGGTGATCTCTATGCTCACTGCCATCAAGGGCTTCAGTCTAGAGGGAGCAGATCACTCGGAGTCTATGGTGCCTGTAGCAGGCAGAGGTGGGTTTCAGTAGGACTGGGTGGTATAGAAAAAAAAAATTTAAAATACTATTCTATCAAATAGTATAATTTATTTAATTAATATAATATAGTATAATAATTATATATTATATAATTACAATATATTTATGTATTAAATATGTTTTATATTTTATATAGTAGTTTTTATTAAAGCTAAAAAATTATTAAAATTAAAATAATTTATCATTTTTATTCTTTTATGTGATATTTATTCTTCATACTATAAATAAATTAAAAAAAATGTATTATTATTTTGTAATAAAAAGTAATAAATATTCTTATTTATTATTTAGAAAAAGTAATATATGTAATAAATACTATATCATTTTTTAGGATAAATTAGCCACTAATTTTTGTTACTAATATTTAAGTCAGAGACACTATTAAAGCTTTACAGCCAAATAAAAAGCACATTTGTTCACAATGTTGCTTTATTGTATATTGCTAGCATAATTTTGTATGTGTCTGTGTCTGTTTGTGTCCTGTAGGCCGCAATGCTCTTCATGTAGATGTGCACATGCCTTCCGGTTTCATTTACTGGTGTGACTTCAGCAGCACCGTGGCGTCTCAGAACGGAATCCGCCGGATCAAACCGGACGGATCTGGATTCCGCAGCATTGTCACCTCTGGAATCGGACGCAATGGCATACGAGGCATTGCTGTAGACTGGGCCGCAGGTGAGGGGTTTTATGTTGAAATCAGATGTGGTAAATTTGGTTGACTCTGGTCATACAGTACAATTGTGACGATGTGATTGAAACAAACTTGTCCACATTCTAAAACTAGTGAAGTACTTCTAAAGGAATGTGAAGACTAATGCCAAGTACCTCAGATACACTGGACTCATGGAGTGTTACGTGAGGAATGTTCTAGAGCAGCTTTAGAAGTCAGAATGGTGACAGCCTTAATGTAGGGACATTAACATTAACTCGCATCAGTATAAGCACAGACAGGTGGCGTTAGAGAAGATTAAAGGTTAACATATTACAGAAAAGAGGCTCAGTTGGTCCAGGCCTCAGTGACCCATAGCTTGTTAAACGTACACTTTTGACCTGAATATGTGAATAAGCAGGGCTGCCAGATTTAACCTAATTTGCTTTGACAACATTAAAACAACATTATAGTTGTTTTATTCTCTCAATAAATCTCAATATAAATATACACTACCATTTAAATATCTCTTTTGCTCACCAGAACTGCATTAATTTACAGTAAAAATACAGTTAAATATTATTTTAATTTAAAACAGCAGGCGCAATGATATTACGCAGCGCCTGAAAATAGGCTTATTGAAAGTTCCCTAGCTGGGGACTATTTTCAGGCGCTGTGTAATATCATTGCGCCTGCTGCACCCATGGTACGGCAGCAAAGTTCCTTGATTATTACGCCGGAATGAGAGTATAGTTCCTAGCCATATCGGCCTAGAAAATCGCAACTTTTCATTTTCCGTTGGTCTTAGTACACAATGTAACTACAGAAGAGTCATGTTTTAAATAGGAAAAATATCGAAACTCTTTGGTCATTTTTGAGCGAGATGCTAACGGTCTAATCAGATTCAATGATCTGTGCTAAGCTACAGCTAAAAGTGCTACCGCCAGACCCGGAGAAATGGGCTTTGATCTTGCATGAAACAAAACAAACAAATTTGCTTATGTTTTGTTGCACATATTGTTCTTATTATTTGACTCTCTATGACAAGTTTCATAAAGGACTATAACTTGACATGCCATCTTTGAAATGCAACTCTCATGCACTCACTTTCACTAATGGTGCAAGAGGCTGAAAAGTGTAGATATCCATCTAGTGCATATGTACATAATGATAAACAAAGTGTTTAGTCCTTAATCTCTCAAAGCAACATTAAGTGTCCGGGTTTCCCAAATATTGTGTCTCGTCTTTGTCTTTCCACAGGAACCCTCTATTTCACCAATGCCTTCTTGACTGAGACGTACATTGAAGTGATTCGACTCAATACCACGTTCCGTCGTGTTCTTCTCAAGACCCAAGTAGACATGCCTCGTCATATTGTGGTGGACCCCATGAACAGATACCTCTTCTGGGCCGACTATGGACAGACCCCCAAAATCGAGCGAGCTTTTCTAGATGGTTCCAACCGGACCGTGCTGGTTTCCTCAGGCATCGTCACCCCCAGAGGCCTGGCTTTGGACCACCGAGACGGATACATCTACTGGGTGGACGATTCCCTGGACATGATCGCACGAGTCCGGCCCGAGGGGGGCGAGACGGAGGTCGTACGGTTTGGGAGTCGCTATCCGACTCCGTATGGCATCACCGTGTTTGAGGGGACTGTAATCTGGGTGGACAGAAACCTGAAGAAAGTCTTCCAAACGAGCAAACAGCCAGGCGCGACCGACCAGCCGCTCGTGATCCGAGACAACATCAACATGCTGCGGGACGTCACGATCTACGACCGGAGAATGCAGCCAAGTTCAGCCCACGAGCTCCATAACAACCCCTGCTTGGAGTCTAGCGGCGGCTGCTCTCACTTCTGCTTCGCCATCCCAGGAACTCAGACGAGGAAGTGTTCGTGTGCCTTTGGGAATCTGGCTGCAGATAGCAGCAGTTGTGTGGTATCCCGGGATGACTACCTTATCTATACGACCGAAAGCACTGTACGATCTCTGCGGCTGGATCCAGAGGATCATTCTCTGCCCTTTCCCGTGGTTAACGTGCCCCAGACTTCGGTAGCCCTTGATTTCGACCGGTTGGACGGCAGGATCTATTTCACCCAGAGTTCGGGAGCAGGCCAGAGCAAGATTAGCTTCATTACTTTGGCTTCACCTACCTCTCCTGCGACAGAGGTGGCCTCAGGTGAGCAGCTTATTTAAGCTCCTAATGCACCCTGACACTGCAGGTTTAGCTAGAAAGTTCATTAAGGCAATCTTTGAATGTTGGCTTAACAAAGTATGTCGTATTTAGGCCTTATGAACCATGTAAGCAAACTTGTTCTTTTATTGTGAAATATAAAAAAAGTAATAAAGTGTGAGAGAAGTTATTTGTTTCTCAGGAAGACAATTCACATGTTTGTTAATGTCATTTTACGTTTGAGCAGATCAAATGTTCAGTTCTGGAGTTATTTAGGATCATGTCTATTGTCTGAGAGTCACTGTAAAATTTGTGCAAAAAAATGTGCAAAAGCTGTTTGATAAGCCCTGATACGCCCTCAAAGTGTTGTAAATAATTATTTCAAATATAATATAATGTAATATAACATAATGCAGTCAGTGCTGGGTAGTAACTGATTACATATAATCTGTATTATGTAATCAGATTCCAAAAATTAAGTACTTTTTTGTATTCATAAGTATATTTATATTTATGTTTAAAATGCTCATAATCAGATTACAGTCACTTTTTTATAGATTATATATTATTCACACAATGGCAGTAAATGATTCATAATTTGATTTGCCCTAATTCTTCTTTTTTTTCTTTCTTGAAAATTTTCTTTCTAAAGTTCTACCGCTTTCATACATGTGGAAAGTCTTCCAGCTTTTCATCAACTCCCAAACTACCTGTAGTTTATTCATGAACCCTAGTTTGGGTAACCCTGGCATAATGTAATGTTTTATAGACTTCATGATGTTGATAACAAAGAATGGAATATATTTTCGGTCAAAAGTAGTCAATACATTACCTAATATGTGTAATCCAGTACGTTACAAACTATAATTTCCATAATGTAATTTGTAATCAGTAACAGACTACAATTTGTAAGTAATCTACCCAGCACTGAATATAATATAATACAATACAATACAATATAATATAATAAAAAACAATAAATCAAATGCAACTTTAAGACTGGTCTGCAACATACAACATGATTTTGGTATTTTATAGCAATATTCTGTATTTGAAAAGATGGGTTGCATAAGTATCTGCAGCTAGCCACAACACTGCCTGATTGCTCAAGCACACAGATAAATACAGTACAACAACCAAATATAATGATTAAAACTGCTGATAACCACATTAAATTAGAATTAAGCAAAAATTAGATTTAAAGGGATAGTTCATAATTCTGTCATCATTTACTTCACCTCATGTTGTTCCAAACCCGTATGAGTTTCTTTCTTCTGTTAAGCACAAAAGAAGATATTTTGAAGAATGTTGGTAACCAAACAATTGACAGTAGCCATTGACTTCCATAGTATTTTTTTTTCATACTATAGAAGTCAATGGCTACCGTCAATTGTTTGGTTACCAGCATTCTTCAAAATATCTTCTTTTGTGTTCAAGAGACAAAAGAAACTCAAACAGGTTTGGAACAACCTGTGGGTGAGTAAATGCTGACTGAATTTTCATTTTTGGGTGAACTATATCTTTAATGTTGTATTTGTAATTATAATCCAGAAATATATTTATTTCTTCAAGCGGGCTTAACAAGGTAATTTCATACATTCATCGATATGTGGTTGCTAAGGTGTAGGTTGTTGCTTGGCAGTTTCTAGGTAAGTTCTGAATAGTTTCTAAGCAGTTGCTAGGCATTTACTGTGGTTGCTAGGACCTTGCTAGATGGTTGCTACTTTGTTATGGGTGGTTGCCAAGATGTTGCTAAGTGATATCTAAGGCTTTACTAAGCATTTTCAGAAGTGTTCCAAATGGTTACCAGGTGATTCCTGGTGAAGGTGTTTCTGAGTAACTACGGCTGTTGCTAGGCGATTATTAAAGTGTTCTGAGTGGTTGCTAGGCAGATTTTTGCTACTTGTAAAGTTTTATAGCTATGTATTTTTGAACATTTTCTTCTCTGTGGAGATCTGGGAGCTCCTGATGGCATCGCCTATGACTGGATCAATAAGAGGATCTATTACAGTGACTATATTAACCAGAGCATCAGCTCCATGGCAGTGGATGGATCTCAGAGGACTGTTGTAGCACAGGTGCCCAGACCCAGAGCCATCATGCTGGATCCCTGTAGAGGGTGAGTCTCCCATTCAGTTAGACTGTGATTTAGATGTTTAATGAGGCATTTTATCATCTAATTTAAATGCATTTCTCTTCATATGCGGTCAGGTATATGTACTGGACCGACTGGGGAACCAACGCAAAGATAGAACGTGCAACTCTGGGAGGAAACTTCAGGACAGAGATCGTCAACACTAGCTTGGTTTGGCCAAATGGTCTGACGCTAGACTATGAGGATCAAAGGCTGTACTGGGCAGATGCCAGCTTGTAAGATCTCATCTTTTCATATTTATATCTATATCTATATATATGTATATCTATATAATATATAATATTTATAATTTAATTTAATTGTATAATTTACCTTTAATAATAAAAGAATAATAATCTAATAATAAACTGAATTATTTAATAATTTATTAAAAATATATAATAATATTTACTTATATAAATGTAGCTATATTTGAAAAATACTACTCTCTCTCTTTCTATTTTTTTCATATCAGACACTTTTGGTATTATTAATTAGCAACACTTCATCTGCAATTTTTGGGCTACATAATTTTAAGAAAAGGTCTACTGTTCTCTCTATGCAGACAGAAGATTGAGAGATGCTCACTCACCGGCACTAACCGTGAGGTCATCGTAAGCACCGCCATCTACCCGTTTGCAATGACAGTGTACGATCAGCATATCTACTGGACGGACTGGAACACACGCAGCATCTACCGTGCAAACAAGCACGACGGCTCCAACCAGAGAGTGATGCTACAGAACCTTCCATCACGGCCCATGGACATCCACGTGCTCTCCAACAGCAAACAGCAGCAGTGCAGCAGTCCCTGCGAACAGTTCAATGGTGGATGTAGCCATATTTGCACTCCAGGTTGGTTTATATTTCAAAACAATAAGCTTTTGCAATACAACTTATGGCTTTTACAGCCAGTATCCTCCGAAACCAAAGCTCTTTTCCCAAATTAGTGACTAATTTATAATAATTACACATATGTATGTATATATATATATACATACAGTGGGTACGGAAAGTATTCAGACCCCGTGTGTATGTATGTATACATATACATATATTTTATTAATATTTAATTATCAAGATAAGAATCAATATAATTGGTACGGTTCTAATATTTGGACCCATATTTAAAATTAAAGAGGTCATATGATGTTGCTAAAAAGAAGATTATTTTGTGTATTTGGTGTAATTAAATGTGTTTATGCGGTTTAAGGTTCAAAAAACACATTATGGGCGGTGTTATGCAAATCTTCCCACATCGTGACATAGATATGTGGGGGCGTGTTAGAACAAACTCTTAACGTGGCTGACTCTTAACTTTTATAAAGAATATCTCTTTGGATTTGAGACTTTAGTCTTTGCAACTTTACAGACCTTCTTTATGCACCAAGAGCTTGTAACACTCCAAAGAGAAAGGAAAAATTGAAATTGTATCATATGACCCCTTTAAATATTTCATAAATTATGATGTTAAGAACTTTGTTTTAAAATACAACACTATTTCTTCCAGGTCCTCAGGGAGCAGAGTGTCAGTGTCCCTCTGAGGGCCGTTGGTATCTGGCCGACAACAAACACTGTATCCCTGACAATGGCACACGCTGTCAGTCAGGCCAGTTTACTTGTATGAATGGCCGATGCATCCGCGCCCAGTGGAAATGCGACAACGACGATGACTGTGGGGACGGCAGTGATGAACTCGAGAGGGTCTGCGGTAAGATGCGTTGTTGCTTCCATGTTGTCCTAAATCAGAATAGCAACTTTATGTAAATGCAGTTTATTGATTCAGAATATATGCCAGTGGCTTCATATATGGTTTACCAAACATACACATACAGTATGAATTCATCCAAACTGACATTTTATGCACTTTCAAGGGTGAACTAAACATTGATATTTGTGCATGACCAAACTGCAAGCCTAATGTTAACACTCAAATCTCTTGTTCCCGCCACTCTCTGACTGTTTCCGTTTGCTGGTGGATGAATTTTCCTCTCCTGCACTGCGGTGCAATATTTCACTAACATGTTTCTTCTTGCTTTTATCTTACTTGCACAATCTGCTCAAATCTTTTCCTCCAGGATCCAAGAGTCATTTCGTTTTTGGTGTGTATTCTTGCTTACTCTTCATGTGTAGATCTGTTCTAAAACCTAGTGTGCTGCCTACATAGGAAACAAGGCTATGCTGCCTTTTAAGACACCATCTTTTGGTCAAATTCTAAAGCAGTATCGCATGTATCCTTTGCAGATGATAATGGCATAATGCATTGTTTGCCACGCTACCCAGCTAACAAAAAATATGTTCTAAGAACATTTTGCCAATGTTCCCAGTGAGTTATGAAAACATAATTTTTGAATGTTCTCGGAATGCTCCAAGCATCCAATTTTTTTTATTTTTTCATATCCGAATGTTAAGGGAACATTCTATTTTACAGTTTTGCAAACATTATGGGAATGTTATTTTTGAACATTCTCTGGACGATCTGAAACACGTAGTAACATTTAAAAAACGAACATTCAACTAAAAATGTCAAAAAAAGTTCCATGTTTTTGTGCTCTTGTTTTTAGAACATTATTAGAGACCAGATAACTTTGAACGAACATTCTAATAATGTTACTGGAAGAGTGTTTGTTCTGTTGTTTGTCCAAAAAGTTCTGAGAACATCCCCTGTTAGCTGGGTACATGCAAAAATCCATCAAAGCAATTAATGTTGATTATAAGAATAATTATAATCCATTCAATACTGAATAACATTGATACAAATCTAATTTAAGGATTAGAGTATTGAACTGTTAGCTTAGCATGGTAAAAAGGAACATTTTAATGAAATTATTTGTGTCACTAGACACCAAGGCAGCTTACTAGGATTTAGAGCAAAGCCTTAGACTACATAAAGTTTAATAACCATCTATAAACACATACTAACCTCTTCCACAATGCACCACTCTCTCTCTCTCTCTCTCTCTCTCTCTCTCTCTCTCTCTCTCTCTCTCTCGCGCACACT